GGCGCAGATCTGAAATCGTGGCGCAATTCTGCACTAGAAAGTGTGGCTAGAGATCTTCTGCAGTGGCTGTGCGCTGTGCAGTCACGTGAGGAACATCAAAACTTTACCTCTACCTTTCCACGCAGATGTCTCAACAACGAGAGCAGCTATCGACAAACCGAGTGAAGATTTGAAATGCTGGCGTAAATCTGCACAGAATGGCTTCTTTCGATTTTCTCTAGCTAGCTCTCTGGTGTAGCTAGCTAACCGCGATCCTACTACCGCGATCCTACGCCTCGCTTCTTATCGCATTCTTATCGCTACTAACAAAACAGCGCGATTGTAGTGCAATCGCGCACATCCTCTAGGGTAGGACTCCTACGCTGTTTTTTCGGCCTCACGGCGATCCTCAGCCAAAATCCGATAACTCCGGGCTGTACGCCGTACTACGGCTCCCAAAACTCCACCCCCTACGGATACTGTACGGACTAATGAGAGGTCTCCTACGTACGGCTTACGTACGTCGTATCACCGTACAGTACCTCACCGTACTACTGTACGATGGGAACGCTGCATCCTGCCCGAGTATCCTAATGCTAGCATTCACCAGAATCATTCTGATATGACGAAATTCAGCGGCGCAACGGATCCGGGCTATGTGAGGGTGCGAGGACAGTTGTGGTTGTGGGTGGATGCTATTGATGAACGGAGGGGTGTCGAACAGGCGCAGGAGCACGTCAGGCATCAGATGTCTCACACATCCGAGGAAACACGTCCACCAGAACACCTCATCCAAACTCCACAACAAACAAACCAGGACAAAACAGCATGCGAACCGGTTCGTAACACAAGTACCACTGCATCGCCTAGCAGCGGTGGCGGCCCGATCTTTATGGGAAATGTAACCGCTGGGCGTGATTTCAAGTATAACCAAGGCGTGATCTGAGGGGAGATATGTCGCTAAAGTTGCTAGAACTATAGGATGCATCACAGGTGTGATACTAGTTTCTCCAATGATTAATTTTGTCTTTTCCCACTGTTGTGTTGGGGACTGGCTGTCAGGCCGGGCGCTATAGCAGGGCCTTCTAGGCCATTCTGGGCCTTAACGGCCCTAAGCGCCGAGAGACAAAGTATATAGACCTACAGAACGCTATCGTGGCTTAGTAGCGGTTCGTCTCTAGTCTACTATACAATATACGCTTGTGTCTCTTAACAACAGTGCATCCTGTATCAAGATAACCTTATTGTTTGACACTGGCCGACTGACTGTTCGAAGACATTCGAGCCGTGATCTTGGAAGGAAAGACGTGCACAGGGTGTGCTGCTATCATACCTTGTTGCTTCTACTGGAAAAAGCAAACACTGAAACAGGAAACATGGTACAACCAAAGTTCTTGTGCCGGAACCGGAAACGGTGTTAGACGTTAGGCACGGAAACAAATTGGATGACGCGTCAGCACGTGAACTCGCGTTTCGGACCGACTTAGACGTCATCATCCTCTTTCTTTGGACCCCTCCAACACACTACTCTCACGCTTGTGCTCTTCTTGTCCTAAGCATAACGTTATGGTGGCGGCTTGGCAGACGTGCAGTTGTACCACCACGTCATGAATCTACACAGCATACAGGTAAGTCTGTCTGACTATATTCAAGGAGGTAGCAAGCTTGTCGTGAATTAAGGTCATGTCTTCTCGATAGATGAACTCACTCTAGCAGCTCACTACACGTGTCGCGTGCAACGCGTATATGGAAAGTGTGTCAAAGAACTCCGTCAGAACGATGACAAACTTACCACATGGGGCTACCTCGGAAATTCACGAGGGCGCAGAATAACCACGATAAACCTAGCGTAGGATGAAGTCGACTCTCTATTGTCGCCAGAGACCTGCATTTAAACGACCATTGATCACCTTCACCTCTAATCCACCACCCTCCACGAGCTTCTTCTAAACACCTTCCAAACTAGAATGAACATGTCGACCGCAACTCAGACAGTAAGATCTTGGCTTGGGATACCTTATGCCACCGCCCAACGCTTCCAACGACCCCGCTTGCAGCCTTTCGACCAGAATCGATCCTTTGATCACCTCGGCCCTGCGCCAATGCAGGCTGGTGACACCAGCTGGCTCAATGCTAAAAACGGGCTTAGTGAGGACTGCCTGAATTTGAATGTCTGGGCACCCGACCAAACGAACGAAAATCCACTTCCTGTAATAGTCTACATCTTTGGTGGGGGCTTTGAAGTGGGTGCAAACACCTCCGCAACATCGAATGGCTCAGGTCTTGCCCAGACTGGCCGCGCCATCTGTGTGTCCGTCAATTACAGACTTGGCCCATTCGGTTGGCTGTCACTCTCTCAATATGGTGGCGTCTTTGCCAACGCCACCAACCTTGGCCTACAGGACATGATCACCGCACTCAAGTGGGTGCAGGAGAACATCGCGTGTTTCGGTGGCGACCCCCAAAATGTTACCGTTGCCGGACACAGTGCCGGTTCCTACTCGACAATCGGCCTACTCGCCGCTCCATCCGCTAGAGGACTCTACAAGCGTCTTTCAGCGTTCTCGGGAGGCGCATCCCGCATTGTTCCAGCCTGGTGGGCTGAAGAACTGGCAGTAAAGTTTCTCGCCGCACTCGACATCGATGATGATCCTGAGCAACTGCTCAATCTAGACGCAAAGGTTCTTGCTGAGACACTCTTCAAGGTCACTCCCCGCGATATTGGTGACCGACATGGTATAGATAATACTACTATCGGCATTGTGGACGATCGCTCTCAACCCGGAGCGGTTCTGGATAGCACACCGCTGGAGGTGCTCAAATCAGGGGCATGTCGTGAAGTGGATATAATCTTCAGCACGACGTCAAATGAGGCGGACTGGTGGGTTCTCAACGCGACCGAGAAATTCGACCCGGGCAGCATCTCCAATATAGTCGAAGAGCTTGTCGTCATGTCGCGCATTCCGAGAAGCCGCGCCAAAAGAATCGTCGCTACGTACAATGTTAATGGCCGCACTCCGGTCGAGGTGCGAGGGGCACTCTTCACTGACTACTTCTTCACCCTGCCCGCTGCCCGCGCAGCACTTGCACATGCGGCTGCAGGTGGTAATGCACGTCTGCTTACTGTCGGACCTGTCGAGGGTGCGCCCGCAGTGCACGGTACAGAGATGTACGGCATCGTCGGTCAGCAGCGCCCTGATTGTGGTGATCAGCAAGTTATCCGGGATGTCTTTGTACGCGACACCCTCCTCGACTTTGCTGAAGGCAACCACGATCGACTGTGGGAGACTGTCAAGAAGAACCCAACCTCAAAAGGCGTCGGCGAACTAACCTATGAACCTACCGCTCGTGCTATCAAAGTGCTGGAAATCTTCGAGCATGTTGTGCGAACATAGCGCTTTGATTAGCTAGCTGGTCCAAGTTGTCCTGACACCTGGAGAAGACCTGTTGGAGATGGATGAACTCAACTCAAAAGTGCTGCATGTTAAGCAATCTTATAACAAATCATTCTAAGTTCAGACATCTCAATTCTTCATTCTCATGCCAACTAACTTTTCGAGAACCGTCGCGCTCTTAGCCGATGTCTTCGCGCAGAGTACCGTATCTCAATATCCCTCCGGACTGCCTGATCGCGCCTGTGACATGATGCATAAATGTGCAGTACGCTGCTGAAACCCAGAAGGATTTAACAAGTGAATTAATAGATAGATCCCCTCAACTACTTTATCTAACCAACGGTGCAGCCACCAAGCCTAACACTCTCTGCGAACATCTCGTATGTATCCGCATTTGCAGCAGCCTGGGTGGCGCTGAGCTTTTGTGCTGCAACATACCCATATCCGTAGTCGTTTGTACCGTACAAGTGCGTCATCTCGTGCAGAATGCTGCCAGCCTTGTCGTAGTCGTCGTTGCTGCACTGAGCGGCAAGCTCGGGGAAATCCCAGAAGCCGTTGTTGGGGCATGGGACAATAACGTTCGCGCTAGGAATGGTGTAGAGGAGTGCCGAGCCGTCGCTGCAGTCGTTGTATGTGTCTGTGCAAGAGATCTTGGGCGAGGTTGTCTGCACGTTCTTGACGTCGTTGTAGATGGTCTGTACCTTGGACTTCACCGAAGTTGACTTGAACCAGGTGGTGAAGTAGTCGGCTCCGGAGCCGGCGGCGGTGTATGCGGCACCGGCCATGGAGATGGCATCTGAGACGCTAGTCTTGAGGATAGACGTTTGCGACGTCGAGCACGAGGAGTAAGTGATGGAGCGCTTCTGAATGCGGGAGGCAGCAGGCTCAGAGCGCTTGTGAGAGATGTGTTGCCTAGGGAGCTGATATCAGTTCCTATGTCTTGCCAGAGTTATGGTCGTAGCTTACTCAGCTGCGCTGCTTTGATCCGGAGTTACTTCGACTGCACCAGTCGTCTGGTCCGCACAGGAGGACAGGTCTTGGAGAGCAGCGGGAGCCTCCTCTCCTGTGGCGTAGCGGAAACCTTGGACAGCGGAGACCTTGGCTTTCTGAACGCCCTTGAGCTTGTAGCTCTTGGCTGCATTGACCGGCACGGTGATTGTCTCTCCAGCCGTGATCTTCTGAAAGTTGTCGGCAGTAAGACCGGTCTTCTTGTAGTTGACGTAGACTCCCTCAAAAGGAAGAGCATTGCCAGCTGTTTTGACCGTCAATATGAATTCATGGCATGTAATCGTCATTGAAGGTATGCGTACCTGCATCGGCTACCAACAAGTCCTTGGTCTCATGGGCACTAAACACGGTGTTGCCCTTGAAGACTTGGATCGTCTCGCTTCCGGTGTTGGTGACTTGAACATTCACAACATGGTTGTCTGCATGAGCGATCGAGACAGAGAGAGGGCAAGCTGCCGAAGCTGCGCCAGCAAGAAGAACGATCGGAAGAGTCTTGGTGAGCATATTGACAAGCTTTGATAAAGAGTCTTGCTTAGGAGGCGGGTTTCGAAGTGATGAGTATCAAACATTGAAGCATCAGTCACCTCTTAAGTACTATCGCGGCGGGAATTTCCGGCGTTCGGCGTGGGTGATATCCCAATGTTCAACTCATTGATGGTGTGCCAGCACGGGGGACACTCTGCGTTGAGCAGGTGTTTAACCTTCCCCATGATATCTCGTCAACGCTTGGTCAGTTTCGGGTGAGTCCGCCAACCTGCCAAGCTGTCTTGAGCAGGTGTTTAAGCTTCCCCATGATCTCTTGTTAAAGCTTGGTCGGTTCCGATTGAATGCTTCGGCTTGCCAAGCCGTCTTGAGCAGGTGCTCCACACGGTGATTAATATATATCCTACGCAAGCGTGTCCTAGCCAGATATAGTACGCATCCATTAGCGAATAATGTAAAGATAGCGATACCACGAAAGGGCCGCTCCGTAACTTAGTGGGTGCATATGTCGTGTTAGGCGCCACGCTACCGCAGTTTAGGAAGGTCTCCGGCGTTTAGTACAGATTGGGGTGTAGAGACCCAGAGCAGCCAATCAAACTGTCGCAGCGCGCAGTTCACTTGCTAAGATAGCCGAACAATTGTTATCTCAGCCTCTACCGATTCGGCCCTTATTCTGGTCAATCATAGTTTCTCCAAGTCTCAGCCTTTGGATGCTCTCTATGTTACAAACTGTCGGGGATTGTAGATAATGTAGGTCACAAGCGGGGGAAGCCAGGCGAGTGGAACCTTCTTGCCAAAACCCAACCAAACATCAAGCTCATCCATGATTTCTCAACACAGCGACGTGAGAAGGACCTCAGAAGAAGAAGATTCAACTGGCCTGATAATGCGTCCATCCGATTCCACCAATCTCAACTCTTCTTTCTTATACCAACTAATTCTTCGAGAATTCTCGCGCTGTGACTTTGCAAGGAAAACCGTGCACAGGGTGCGCTGCTCCCAGCGGTACCTGATACGCTCTCTCCCCAAAGACCGTCTTGACACCAGACGAAGGATGCAGCCGGTCCCACTCTTCATACTGATCATGAACGTCGAATTCGCGGACTGTCATCGCCAAGGTGATCTTGATATCCAGCATCGCAAGCGTTTGGCCAACGCAGTTCCTTGGGCCAGCTTCGAATGGCCGCCATCCACCTTTTGGCGGGTACAGAGGATGGCCAGGCTCAACAAGCCAGCGCTCCGGCAGGAACTCATGAGGCTCAGGCCAGTATTTTGGATTCCGCTGTATTGCTCCGTGTAAGATCCAGATGTTGATGTCTTCGGTAGGGTACTTGTTTCCACTCTTGTCACGTAGGAAGACACCTGGAAGCCCACCTCGCATGCCAGCAGCTGGTGGAAAGAGTCGCAGGGTTTCTTTGATGACAGCGGTGGTGTATGGAATCTTATTGATGCGCTCTGGATGCATGTTCAGTGAGGTAGCAGCTGTGTCGATGCCGTACCCAAATACCTCATCGAGCTCTGCACGAACCTTGGCCAAAGCATCTGGGTGCTTGGACAGCAGATATAGACTGTAAACAATCGTTGCAGCGGTCGAGTCGTGCCCGGCGAACAAGAACAGGCGGATCTGGATAGTCGCCCACTTCTTGAAGTCGGCATCAAGCTTCGCCGCAGCCTTGCGCTCGGTCATGTACGCTGCTATCGCAATGTCCATGACGGAACTTGCACGATTAGATGGCTCATGGGTCTTCCAGTCTTCATATTGCTTGTCCAGCTCGATGCCGATGTATCGATTCATGGTTTTGCCGTTCCACCATTCGATCAAGGGTCGCATAGGGTTCCAGCGTATGAAAGGGTTCAACTCTTCATCCTGGCAATGCCATTCGATAGAGCTTCGCATGGCGGCTGCAAGCGCATTGTGGCTAGTCATGGAGTGAAGGCGAGTATTGCTAAAGCATATCAGCACAAGTTCACGCTGCAACGAAGCGACATGCACTCACATGGTGATGGCACCGATTACGTCCATCATGTAGTCGCACGTCAATCTGTCCAGCGAGAACGTATCCCCTTTCTTCGCGTGCTCTCGCAGTAGCTTCACGTAGACTTCGGCTTCCTCGATGATGTGCGGTATGCTCCCAAGCATTACCCTGTCACTAAAGCCCGGGTTAAAGAGCGCCCTCGAGCGCTTCCACTCCGCGCCGTTCATATCAAACAGATTAGGCCCACCCGCAAAGGGTGCAAAGAACGGTATGAGAACCGGAGGCTTTGGAAGATCATGCTCTTGACATGCTTGTATCGCTAGATCTGGCGAGGTGACTACGAGGAGCGGACTGCTAAAAGGCCATAGATCGACGTAAAAGCAGTTGTCCGAGTCCGTGAAGTCGTTAGATAGCAGGGTGAATACATCAGATTGTTGGGAGCCTTTGGGAAACTTTTCAAGGAGTCCTGGTAGCACTTTGAGGTTACCGGCTGCGAAGTCCCACGGCGGCATGGGCTTCAAGTTGTATCGCGTCAGCTTGAAATAGGCGGCAGTGCTCAACTGGGTTGCGTACCAGTCCTTGCTTCTTCAGCTTGTAGAAGATCGTGCGCATCTTCACGAGCTTGAACATAAAAACGCTCATGGCAGCAGCCGCTGCAGATAGCGCAATCTGCCATATTATGCGGTTGAGCTCAGTTGCAGTCATCGCGTCCGCGCGCTACTTGCAGTTGCCGACGGAGATCTGGTGCGTCTTCGTCTGGGCGTCGATGGCGTTGAGGAGGCTGTGATGGGCGTCCTGCTGCGCGTACTCAGCCGACACTGCTAGCACACTAGAAGGTGTGAGGATCGGATGCACATTAAAGCGGAAGAGAAAGTTCTGTGGTCCGCGCAATATTCAACATGTTATTTGTGACGGCTTCAGCTGTCTCAGCACGTCTAGTGTTGGCAGCCTGATGCGGACGAATTAGAGCGCGTGGGGGCCACGGGGCCCGCGGGCGCGGTTGCCCAACCACCGGCCGTTGCTGCACTAGTCACCTTGACGTCTCACGACCTTCACCACAACACTAAGCTTTGCAGGCTGCAGCGCTCGTTACACTGATCCTACGCTAATGTTTGGCTATGCTCGATTTCAATTCCTCCCACTTCGCTACCAGATCTGCCTTCTCGGCGTCACTCGCACCACGGAAGCCAACACCCGATCGGCGCAGCTGAATGAAGAAGATCTCGGCCTGGACAGCAGTGAGATGGCGCGCCAACAGTCCCCGCTCAATTCCCTTCAAGAAGTATCCTGGTACGCCGAAGATTGCTGGTAACGTCAGATCGGCATATTTCACAATGTAGAGTCAACTCACCAGCCATCGAATGGAAGTAAAGACCACCAAGACCTCTACCAAGCCCTTTACCGAAGCCAAGAGCGCCCTCCTGCTTTGCACCGAGATATGGATGCCTTGCAATACCCACCAATGCATCGCCGAAGCCGAGCACGAACTCTTTCCCAGCTAATTTGCATCCGCTTCCAAACCCAGTAATCTCATCTCTTCGCCTGGCAGGATCATTACGTATCGCATACGACGGAAAATTTCGAAAGCCGTTGGCCATGTTGTAGAACAGAGCGACTGGTGCCTTGGCACCAGTTGCTGTCAGATCACCGATGTAGTGTGCGGTGGCGCTGACTATCTGGTACCCACGACCGCCTTTAGCTCTCCTTGCTGCGACTCTGTCACGGAGGGCAGTCAGCCCCGGTCGACTTGAAGGTTTCTCAAAGTTGTGAATCATATCGTCTTCGTAAGATTTCGCTGCCATTCTGTATGCCAGGTGGTGGAATTGCCTCGAAGTGATACCTTTTTCCAGCCTGGCGTCATCCGAATCGTCCCTTGTCAGTGTTCTCTTCAATGCTTCAAGGTCCGATTCGCGTGGTCTTTTCTTCAGGCGTTGAGAGAAGTCTGATGTATCTGTGCCAAGTGAAGCCATGAGTCCTCCGAAGGCTGCTACGGCACCTACGAATGGTCCTTCGGCTCCTTCATGTGTGTAGTAATGACGATGTCGCAGTAGCCGTAGATGCTTCACATCGAGTACATTCTTCTCGACAAGCGTACATGCGGCCAAACCACTCAAATGTGCCCCAGTCTGTTTGTCACGCCATATAGCCAGCCGTTCCGGACATAGCTGACATCGCATGGCGTCGATATTCAACCTCTGCTCGAAATCTCGCATCGTGTCACCAGCGCCGTCTTCTTCTGCAATACTTGCGGCCATCTTCTGCACAGCAACTTGTACCGAATCTTGGAGCGCAAAGGTGATGCTATTGGCGAGGCTCTCTGCAGTCATTTGCTTGAAGGGAACAGGCACCGGACCGGCACCAGCTTTAGCAATCATCTGTTGCGAAGGTCAATACAACCCCATCATCAATCGTCACAGACTTACCTGTCCCCAGAAGGGCTGATCACCAAAGAACGGCACAACAACTGTGGGCTTTCCCAATGCAATCCCGGCAGCTGTTGTACCCGCGCCTCCATGATGCACAACACACGATACCCGTTTGAACAGCCAGTCGTGTGGGCAGTTGCCGATAAGGTAGATGTTTTCTGGTACCTCACCTCCGCCTACACCTCCCCATCCCTTGGACACTATCGCTCGAACTCCTGCTAGCTTCACAGCTTCGAAGAGAAGCTTGGTAAGGCCTACCGGATCGTCGACCACGATGCTACCAAAGCCAATATACACTGGCGGCGGTCCCTTGGCGAGGAACTCGGCCAAGTCATCAGGCGGAGTGTAGTTTGAACCGGCGTCCAAAAACGAGAATCCCGTGATGTTGATATGCTCGCCCCAGTCAGACGGCCGCGGGATCAGAGCCTGGGACCAAAGGTAACTGTACGGGATACGAAGCCTTGGGAGTAACCGGTGACCCCACAGCGGACTCATCGCGTCTAGGCCTAGAGTCTGTGTTCGGAACTTATTGATGACATCTCCGAGGCCTTGCCAAGTTAGCAGCTCCATAATGCCGAAGCTGAAGTAATTCGCCACAGACTTCTCGACTTCACCATATTCCATAGCCGCGAGGGGGTGGTGAAACGCTTTCGTCGGCGACCATGGCATTGTGAAGACCATGTGCAGCGGAATGCCCAGCTTCTCTGCGCAGTGGATATGTCCCATTGAAGGCGGATTGGCGATGATAGCGTCGGCAATGAACAGGTCCTCCGCCGCGTCTACATTCAACGCTGATATTCTCTCGCCCATACCATCACCGGCCTCGATACAACTTCTCCAGGTTCCGTCCATCATTTCGGCCATCTCTTTCCGTCGCTTGCCGATATCACCAGCTTTGATGGACTGCATGTTGGGTAACAGGCCGGGGTTCTTCACCATGTACGCCATTAGCGCTTCCGGATCACCACCAATCGAAAAGAACTCCACGCCATTGCTTTCCACGAAATCCTTGAAAGCTGGATGCGTGCAGATGCGCACCCGGTGATGATGTGGAGCGGCCTGAAGCAGCTTCGCGATCGGAATGAAGGGCTGCACGTCGCCCCGAGATCCACAGATATGTATTGCAATGTTCAATCGCGGTGCACTGGTGTTGCTGTTCTGTTCCTTGATGAACTCATCCACTAAGGTTGTGCTTCCTCTTCGCGGTCTTGCGCACCGCGCTGGTCGGCATGCCGCGGCTTCATCCTGGGCCTTATCGATCCAATGTCTCAGCGCATGCGTGTTCTTGTGGAATTGGATAGCGACCTGGCCAAAGGTGTTGACTCGTCCGGTACTTTGCGCTTTGTTGTCATGGAATTCCCCGCGTTTCTGGTTCTTGTGGAAGTTCAAAGGCATGGCGACAGCGATACCGGCTGCTAACGCTGACTACATTGGGTCCCCGTCGATATATACGGACCCAAGATTACGGCTTGGATGACATAATGTAAGATTATCCACGTTTGCTTGGGCATGCAGTCGGACCTTCTGAGATGAGCGGTAGCGCCAATGCTCACCTCTTGCTTTTCTGGCTCTAGATCTGCAGTTTGCGGGTCTTCTGCGGCAGGCCTCGCCAACCACAGCGCGTTGTATCGCCTCGGTTGGCGATCAACCGCCCCCAGCAAACCATCGCCCGTACCATCGTACGAAGTAATCACAGTCGGCCGGATCTTCTCAGTAGCCTGGACCTCAACACCGACGCACGCGCATCACCGCGCAGATGATTTTCGCGTTGGCACGCCTATCACGTTCGTCGGAGATCCGCATACAAAGGCTCAAGCGCCTCTAGCTTGAACCGCGTGGAGGAACGGAGGAACAGCGGAGGAACATGCGATCGCAACGATAACGATTATTCTTCTTCAACCTTCACTTTCGCCTTGGACACAAGAAAGGACACTTTGCGCCACGCCGATTGCGCATACACGTCCAGCCATGACGGACAACCAGGAGAAGGGCATCACAGGGCGGGCGCGAGGAATGTCCCTGTCATCGCTGCTGCACACGACGCCGCAGCTGGGCATGTGGCAGGCCACAGCAACGGCAATGGCTCAAGCGCCAAATCTGACCGAGCTGCGAGAACCGGAAGTCGGCGGCGCAAACATCACCTTCGATGCCCATGGCCATGCGACACTTATCGCGAAGCCGGACGAAGATGGCGAGCTTACTCTGGTCAAGTCGCAAACCAGAGTCCTCGACCGTCCAGCGACAGACGAACCTGTGCTACCAGGAGAGACAGATGAGAAGGCACACAAGCATTTGCGCAGGCATCATGGGCATGGCATCCGCCGCCGACAGACGCTGAAGGAGAAGCACGCATCTGAACACAAGGAATCGTGGGGTTCGACCATCAAGAACGGTCTGAAAGCATTCTGGGTGTTTTTCCTCACACCGTCTGGCTTCTTGATCACGATTTATGGCCTCAACGTCGTGGTAAGTTGACCCTTATCCTCCCACAATCATGCGCGCTGACATTTGCAGGCATGGGGCGCAATGCTCTTCTTCTTGCTCCTAAAGGCTGCCCCTGCCATGTGCCATGTGCGTGGCACGCAGATCTACGACTGCGACAATGACTACAGTCAGAATAAGATCTGGCTCGAGATCGACAGCCAGATTCTTAACGCACTATTCTGCGTCACTGGCTTTGGCCTCGCACCCTGGCGCTTCCGCGACTTCTACTGGGTGAAGCGCGCCATTCACTTCCACGATCCGAACGCTATGCGCCGCCTCTTTAACCAGAACAAAGCGTGGTTCCGACCACCTGCGTGGTTCACCGAGAGCGAAGGACGTGGTGGGGAGACCCTGGAGCCGGCTACATTCACGGGAGTGAGGGCGCCGCCAACGAGCATGTGGAAGTTGGCGTTCACGGTTGATATGATGGTGTTAAATACACTGCTGCAGGCGGTCCTCTGTTTTTTCATGTGGCATTACAATCGCTTGGATCGTCCGACGTGGGCAACAGGCACATTCATCGCGTTGGGATGCGGCGTCGCGATGTTCGCCGGTATCATGTCGTGGTGGGAAGGAAGGAAAGTGAAGAAGATTGAGGGTCCGGAGATCAAGATTGAGACGAAGGCAGGGGAGTCGAGCGAAGGCACTGCTGTATAATACCTCAGCGTAGAGACGGCACGTTAAGTATCGCGATGTTAGTTCATTCAATTGAGATACTAGTAATAAGACCTCTGCGCGCATAGATATGGTGGATGCATACACGCTAGGACCCTGCTAAACCCGGCCCAAGGATGTGTAGCGAGACATCGCTGACTACTCTACGGTAGACAACCCAGCGAAGCGGCCCAAAGGCGAACGTGTCGTGACTACTACGAACAGCTGTAGGACAAGAACAAAAGTAGACAGGTAGAAGGTACTAACAGCATATATAGGTAGTTTCTGAACCGTCTTTCCGTCGCAGAAGCGCTGTTCTTGTGAGTACAGGAGATGGTACCGATGGTGGGATAATGCATGTCCTGGCATCATGTCGTGAATTCCAATTCGATTAGAAACTCATAGACATCAATGTTGGGAGTGTTGGGACAAGATGTTGCCGCGTAGATTCCCGAAGAGACCTCAGTTCCTGTTTTGTAAGAGATCCCGACTGTCATATGCTTACAGCATCTGTAACGCGGCGTCGCACATGTACATCGTCCCTCGTCGTAGTGCATCAAGACGGATGGTTGGCGACCAAAGGGGGCCATGGTGAGCCTACCTCCAAGCGCCTGCACTATTTTCAGATCAAAGGGTGTTGGGGACACAGGTCACTGTACGAATTAACGCCCAGCGAGATTGTGTCGTTGTAGAAGAACAAGCAAGTCGCAGATGAGGACGAGGACGAAGTCGTAGGCGCAGAATAGCACTATCTAATTCAAGGCGGAGATGACGACCTATAGAGCGACAAGGAGAAGGACGAAGAGGAGTAAGAGCTGTTGGAGGCTCACATCTTGAAACTCTTGGTATCGTTGTTAGTCTATTACCTGTAAGACGACGAGTAGAAGAGCGCGCTCGTCAGCACCACAGCAGTAATAGGGGTAGATGGTGACCATGGGTAGAGGGCACTGTTAGCGTACATGCCTATCATGTCCGCTATTACTACCACTGTACGGATGTTGGGGTGACATCCGGCAGCGAAGACACGTCAAGACCGTGCGACCATAATCACGAGTAAGGAGGGTTACGCCCCGTAAGACCCCCATGAAATGGCTATAAACTACTTTCAACTGATCTGGAAAACTGCCAATCGTTTTATGATGTTGAGCAGCTACGGGGTCATGGCTAGCCCGATGGACTGGTTGTTGCGATTGCGGACTCGTAACATGAACATCTGGTTTTACACCAACGATTACATAGGTGAGCAGACGCACTGCAAATGATTGTTACTCGTGATTAGCGGGTTAGGGTTAAGTTGGCTAATTCATACTCGAGAACATATTCGTCTGCAGTTTCACAAGACCGCCGTCTGGTACGGAGTATAGAGATTCGATGATTGCAAATGAAATCCGTGTATATAGCTGCGCATCAGAACATCAACCGCGCAGTTTATGCGGAACGCTAGACTAGTGCTTTCTTGCCGTCCCTAAGTTACTCGTGGTCAGTCTTGGTTGTAATCGCATCCCACTCAGCCAGTAACTTCATGGTTCCTTCAATCTTCTCGCGGATGCCAGGAGAACAATCTGAGCCCAGCGCCACGCGCATCGGAACGTCTCTTCCTTCAGCGGCGCCAGTCTTCGTTAAGATGTCGACTATCACCCTAGAACCCTTTTTTACATCACCAGGCTGATTGTTATTCACATTATCCAGTGTCGCCCTGACCTCGCCCACAGCAGTCTCATCATACTCTTAGATTCTCTTCTCACTCTTGATTTGCGTACCAGCATTGAGGAAGCCAGTTCGGAAATATCCCGGCTCGATAACTGTCACAGAGATCCCTAGCGGCGCAAGCTCACTGCGCATCGACTCGGAGATGCCACTGCATGCCCACTTAGTGCCAGCGTAGAGCGCGAAGCCCGCACCACCATGCCAGGAGCCAATGCTGCCGAAGTTCGCGATAGTGCGGTGACCAGAAGTAGCGCGAATGTAAGGCAGGAAGGCCTTTGAGACATTCAGCATGCCAAATACGTTGGTATTGAACTGATCAAAGTCCTCCTTGGGTCTGCTTTCGAGTCAGTCCAATATCTTCGAGGCGTACCGGGTGCCCAGAGCATGACTTACGAGGTCTCCTCGACTGCACCAACAAGGATATAGCCAGCCGCGTTGACTAAGTGATTAATACAGCCATACTGCGCATTAGCCTCTTGTGCAATCTTTTCGATCTCTGCTTGCGGTGCTGTGACATCGAGTGCAACAGTCACTGCGCCCTTCTCTTGTAAATCGTGGAGGCGCGACGTGCTACGTGCGCTGGCGATAACCTTGTGGCCGCGAGAGAGAGCCTCAAGAGCTATGTATTTGCCAAAGCCACTCGAGGCTGCCGTAATGAACCAGACTGGCGTTTGAGAAGACATTTTAGGTGTGCGTGTGACACAGTTCCGGTTCACCGACAAGTTGGAGTAGCGGGAGGAGAGATTCGGGAAAATGAGGAGGAAGGTGCTATTGATTCGAATGAATGTGCATGTTCAGCCTTTAAAGCCTCATGCCGCTGGATACTCTTTCGGCGCTTAGCTCTATGCCCGACGCTCCAATATGCCCTAAGATCATGACACCTAACTCCGACCGCATGAAGTAGTACCTTCATTGGATTGAAGGATTTCGGCTAGAGGCTTGGACCACAGACACCGCCATACGATCCGTCGTAAATACCTTATCTCTAGTAGGGTTGTGTTGAGGCCCAGAGAAGTCTTGAAGGAACATGCGGGGTTCGTACGCCCGGGCGGCAATGCAGTCAGATACTAACACATGTTACCACGGGCGTAGAATAGAACCAATGACTGAAGACGATATCGCTGATGCATTGCGCAATTCTTCGGGGCATTCAGCGGGCGTTGTGGGTGATGCTTCATGTGAGCACAGCTGTGTGTACGAAGATGGATCGCCTGGAGCGCCGACGGCCTTCGGAATTTCAATAAACTGTCGCAAACACACATTCTTTGAATCACGGATACACATGCCTACACGACGTCGACATGTTATCTCAGCGTCTCGATACGTGCGCCTTGCAACAGGCTTCGCCGAGACCAGGCTGTCCGTCAATCTCAATATCGTGTGTGATGTAACAAACCCAGATACAGCGCATCTTGCCCATAAGGTAACCTACACTTCCAGAACATGTTGCATTATATCGTGTAAAGAGAGCATCTCTACGATCTCGGAAAAGGTATATCGCTATATCCTGTGCACACTGAAGGTTCTGCGAACAGAGCAGAACCATTGACTCGTTGTGCGCGTGTCGAAGTATTGGAGCATACCCTGTCAGGTCGCTTGGGACCACCGATCGGGGGCAACGGTTGCGCGGATTGCCCGTCAATGTCAACAGGGGTTCAGCGGCCGCGCTAGGATGGTCTGGTCGTTAGCGTCATAATGGCGATGGTCTGTGAGCCCGAAACTCCGAACCTGGGTAGGTGAGTTTTATCGCCGAAAGTCGAGTACATCTTATCGCCGAAAACCACAGACGGTGTTTGGACGGCCGATGCACGAACCACGGCTATGTCGAACGACCAAACGTGTCCTCAGGAGAAAGGCATCGATTGTGTTCAAGTGTATGTTCATATCAAACTATATAAGTATGTCCAGGTGTATCCTCCCCATCGCTGGCTCAACAACCAGTATTCAACACAGCCTTTCCGTATCAGTTGTCAACCCTTTGTATCACCATCTCAGTTTTCTTCGAATTCAGCTCATACTATGGCTTGCCACGGCCGGTACACTACCGAAAAAGTAACTTACCCATCTCACGGGGAGACAATCACTGGCATCCTTTACATGCCCAAAGGCATCACAAATCCTCCTGGTGTTGTTGTCCTCGGTCCATACTCGTTCGTCAAGGAGCAAGCCCCATTACAATATGGTACGCGGCTCGCCGACGAAGGTTACGCCGCCTTGATCTTCGATCCACGCACGGTTGGAGAGAGTACTGGAGTGCCGCGGCGTCTCGAGAACCCCCTGATGAAGAACGAAGATGTTGTGTCCGGCCTCGACTACCTCGCCAGTAGAGGTGATGTGGATGCCAAGAAACTGTTTCTCGTTGGTGTTTGCCAGGGCGGTCCCGAGTGCCTGGATGTCGCGTCATACGACGATCGTGTCATCGCTGTGGCTTCCGTGACAGGATACTATCGCGATCACGAGACGGATGTTTACATGATCTGTGCTGGCTGCGTCAACATCGAGCCGGGCGTTGATGTAGGAGCTATGAAGATGCCCACACCTGAGCAAGGAGAAGCTCTCTATCAGGCGCGTATTGAGAGAGCCAGAAAAGCTAAGGAACTGTACGACGAAACGGGAGAGGTCCTTTACCAACCTCTTGTGGACCCCAAAGCTGCAGACCCTAGTGTCGGCTCACTTGCCGGTCTTCCTGGACCGGTTCCATGGTCGTGGTATGGTCCTTGGACATTGAAGGGTTTCGAGAATCGATACGCGGTCATGAGTGATTTAGATCACTTCGGCTATTCAACCGTATCCGGTGTGGCAAAACTCAATAAGCCAGCGTTGGTAATACATGGTGATAATTGCATGAATGCGCCGGCAGCAAAGAGGCACTTCGAATCGATCCCGACCAAGGCCAAGAAGCTGGTTTGGGATAATGGCGCGTCGCATTTCCAGCACTACGAGCAGCCGGATGTCGTCGATCGTAACATAGGCGAAATCGCGGCCTGGTTCAAACAAGTAAATACGTAAGATAGAATGCAGTATGCACATCGTTGAGTCAGTCTTACTCGACTGCGCAGACTACATCTCTCTACAAGTCCCAGGTTGCTTGTCATGGTTCATGATGTAACCAACTCCAGATGACGCCTGATCTACACAGCATGGTCACGTATGTCTTTCCAAAGAATGGACTCTCTAATGGTTGCAAACGGTTGACCCCTTAAGTTGGTGTATAAGAATAAAGTATGCTCACTTACCTAAATTCGATCTACATCCGATCTCATGGTACGGGGAGACAAAGGAGCAAGGTGCACGTGATCGGTATATCACTGAGGATAGCTACAGGTTATAGGTCGAGTGAGTGAGAGGACGTAGCTCAAGGTGCCTGAGATACGGGCGACTCCTAAGTAGTTGTTCTTCTGTAGACGATCCGTGCTTCGATCGAGCCGTCAGAAGCCTCTAGGAAGGATCCGGCAGCCCTTGATTGGTTGTCCGGCCTAACCTCGGTAGATCATCAGTTCTTCCTTTGTCATAGTAAGGTGGGGGTTGTTCATCTTCGTAATCCTAGCGCCCGTCAGGGCCAAGCGGCTCTTTATCACCTCATGTATCATCAGTCTCAACTCTGTGCATTGATTTCCTTGTCGGCCAGCTTCATCCCCTCAAAGTCTCGCTCTTGCTAAAGCTATACCGCCATGCAAGAAGACAATGGCCACGTTGAATCACATGCGAGACGCAACCGCCCCACAATTTCGTGCCGTGAATGTCACAGACGTAAGCAAAAGGTAATATTCACTACCTTCATGCCGATAGCCAGGCTGACCATACAGTGCGATCGTCGGCGACCATGTTTACATTGCATAAAGCGCGGCAAGAGTGTATGCTATCGTCCTGGAGTGTGTCACGGTGCTAACAAAACAGGATGTTTGTCTTTACCAGCGGAACGATGATCGTGCGCAACCCGCCAATCTTCCTCTTGAGCTTGAGGATCAGCCAAGTCTACCTGCTGTTACTCCGCCAACCTACGCAGACGGAACTCCCACACTGTCAACGGTGACCCAATCCGCAATCAGACAGCTTGGCTACGCCAATGACAGCAACGGAACCATGGGTATTATTCGTTGCATCGCAGGTTTCCCCAGCCTCCAATCCGATTCTGGGCTTCGCCATAGCCCCTCAGCAGACCAGTACAGAAGGATCGTCCGAGAACTCCCGTCGTGGAGGCACATCGAATTCCTGGTCCACGCATTTTTCACGAACGTAGCGTGGCATTATGATATAGCGGACGAAGCCATGTTTCTGAACCAACTTTGCCAGTGGAAGGGTCTTTCATATAATCAGCTAAAGGAAATCCCCAATGGTTTGACAGCCGATCTCTGGTCTTTTCCCGCATTACTTTTCCAAGTTCTGGCACAGTCTTTGCTATTTCAACCGTTGGACCATGACGACAGTCTAAATGACTTGAAGTATGCACCCGACATGAAACTATCCGATCGAGCGGCAGAGTTTAGTGATGCAGGCCTGCGTCTCGCTTCCTTAATTGAGAAAAGTAAGCTCACACTCACAACAATTCAGGCTGAAATATTGCGCGCTTCCTTTGAAAAGAACACTGGGAAGGTCGTAGAGGCGTGGCACTCTGTCGGAACGGCGATTCGTAACGGTCAAGAACTCGGTCTTCACCTGGAGACGTCAACCCCCACGCTAAATTTCGGGCATCAAAATTTGCCAGACTACAGCCTGGGATGCAGGATCTGGTTGATGCTCCATCTTTGGGATGCCCACATGGCTGTGGTTCTGGGAAGACCGATGGTGACCAAACTGGATCCTAGCGACATCCCCCTTCCCGCTTCGTGGAATGACAGCCCGATCGAGCAGGAGCTGCCGCGGCCCCGCGACGTCATCCTTTGTGGTTTTCACACGGCCTACAGATATCTTCAGGATATACACAGGCTCGAGAAAAAGGCTGATAGCTTTCTTGTGGTTGAGGAGCTTCACGAAAGCATCCTCGCTAATATTTCGAACCTTCCTGCGTGGGCTACACCCAAGAGATCACGTTCGAACGAACCTGCCTGGCTTTCCACAGCGTTGGAAATCATGTTCACCAATATACACTTCGTATTGTTTGCCCTACATCGACCCTTCGTGTCTTTATCCTCAAGCAGTCGCAGTAAGGTATATTACTTCGCAACGCAGATTTTGGAGTCCCAGGCCCGCCTCTTCGATCGGACAGAGCCTCTGCAACACAAGAGTTTTGAACTGGTATTTGCCACGTTTGATGCTACGATACTCATTGCAGCCATGCACATTCGTTTTTCAGATGAGTTTGCAGACCAATACCCCGCAGCAAAGAGAAGTTTAGAGTGGGCTCTTGATAGACTGAAACTGCTCAAACCCGCGAATGACCTGGCCAGCTCAGCTTTCGATGTTATTCAGCAGCTGTATCAGAGAATGTTGGCTGGCGTCTACACTGCTCGCTCTCTTTCATCCGCATGTCAAGGTACGGAAGCTGGAATCTTTGCGGGGTCAGAATCTGAAATCTTCCTATCCAATTGGGACGCCATTTTACAGCCTTTCGATACCGCGATTTCAGGGCACGCATTTAACGAGGCAATTTGCGATGGCACCTTCGGATTCTCATCAGTGGATCAAGCGCAATCCCTTGGAGAAAGGGACCATTTGCCGATCGGGTTGCTCAACTATCAGACATGAGATATGTGTTCTGCCAACTTGCCACTTTGAAGATGTTTCATCTTACAATACGTCAAGTCACATCCAGTGTACTTCGTTAAGCAACAAAACGGCAATGTCAAATGGCAGTCTGGCTTGAATTCTAGAGAATTTATCGTCTCTTTACGAACGTCGAATGATGCTAGGTTAAAGGCTAACTGAGGCATGAAGGCAAGATTGTAGGCAGTTGCACAAAGGTAGTGAGATGTTTATGGAATCCCCGCAATGTCAGAAGGCTGATGCATTCCTACTGTCTGTGCCGTACCTTCAATTGGCACCGACCAGGCGGCCCTCCTTTCGATAAACTGCTCTACCTGCGGCCGCAACTTGGTTTCTGCTAGAGTGGGATCATCGACAGTGCCAGTGCGCAAGATCGTCATCTCAGGAAATCGAGCGCCGCGGCGGTACATCAGAGTTCCGCATGTCTTGCAGAAATAATTCGTCATAGATGCGTTGGCCCGTACTGTCGTAGCCTCTTCGAATGTCGCGAGATTATTCTCACCCCGAACGTGCTTGAGATGTGAGTCTGCCACAGTGATATTAGATTGGTAGAAGGCGGAACCAATCTTGCGGCAGTCGAGGCAATGACAAACATGACGATTTATCAAACCAGGTTTCTGGAGTGGCTGCAGATGTCTGTTAGCTCGTGTAGTATATTATCAGGAGTGATGAAATGCAAACGCAAAGCGGTATCGCAGCAGACTCCGCTTAAACAAACTAACCAGAACTACCTGTACAGCTCCACAAAAGCATGTGGCAGTAGCTTCATCCTCGGTAGACCAACCATCGTTGGAAAGATGGGTCACGGAGAATCCATGATCGTTGAAGGAACTCATGGCTTCGTGTTGTTGATGATATTCGTCTTTGCGGGAATGTGATTTAACAGCGAGAACGCTAAGAGTGTGATCGCTGGTACCAACTGGCTACACCTGGTCGTGATCTTCACAGAGTGAATAAAGCAAAAGATCCCTTTGTATCTGTATGGAGATACGAGATCGTTTCGCCAGAGCGGTCAAGCCTATAAAGTGCACCTCGATTTTCTAGTAGGTAAGCTTTGTGGAGACATTCCAGGCATAGGATCTTGCGATGTCATATTCTACGTCCAGATCCTCTTCGGCAAAGGATGTATTAGTAATGCCAGATATGTCGCGTAGCTTGCTGACCTAGCGATAAGACTTTGTGGATTGATTCGATGTAGCTGCCCACTCTACCCCGCTGAGGTGACCCCGCAGTGGGGTAACCCTGGACGTAAGACGCCACAATCAGCACACCAGCCCGGACGCAGTGAGACAGTACGGGCGTCAGTACTTCTTGAAGACATGATGATCGTTGGATGCGGCCGGAGCGGTTAGGCACAGAGGAAAGTGGTGACTAAGAACATGCGTTATTGAACATCACCTCTGCAACTCTTTGGAAGAGCTGAAACAAAGTCTAGATGCCAAAGGACTTGAACGAGGAAGGATGACCAGATGTAACGTATCCTTGAGAGAAGGCGTAATACTTAATCTGATAGCCGCAGGAGAAGCCTGTAGCCACGTGTAGGGCGTAAATCCTGCAAACTGCATGAGCGCAGGTAGAGGTGGCGTGGATGTTGCGGCGAGATAAGCCACAATATAAGCACCCACTTGATTGATTGCATTGCTAGAGAAGGTCAGGTTAGGATATGGTAATTCAAGTGGAGAGAGTTGAGAAGCCGAGATCGAGGCATGTTATGATCATGGCAATCACCTGATAGTCGGGGTTACGAAGTTCGCAACACCATTGCTGGGTGAAGCAAGACTATTTACAAAGCCAAGGTTGCGTTTGTTGAAAGCAATCACCAATTCCGTAACGAGAAACTATTAATCGAGCTACCAGGATGCCTAGAGTCGGTTAGGAGGAGATAACACGAATTGTCGTACAGACTAAGGAGGCATAACGTCAATCCTCGCATACAAGGTGCCAACTCAGACGCTGACATAGGAGGAGCCGAACAGGCTTTGATACCGTCTGCATACCAGCTACCTAATAGTCTTGATTGTCACTCATCTCATCCTGCCAAATCCAATCAACTTAACATACAGCTTAGCAACATATCGTTGCTTATCTAATTTGACAATTACCGACATCACGTGCGTTCGGATTTTAATTGAGCAACATTCTCTTCCAAACTTGGAACACCCCTTTCAAGATCGGAAAGAATGTCTGTCGTTGTCAAACCTGCGGAATACAAAACTGGAACTGTTATCGTTTATACTTCTAAGGTTCCAACGGACGGGGTTGGGGTGTGTAAGGCCGGTGTGCTCTTCACTAATACTATTGGAATGTTCGCTGGTATCAACCTCGGTGAGTGAACGTATATCTTCTTTTCGCGAAGCGAACCAGTGTCGCATCGTGTCGGCTTGCTTCTGCCTTTCCGGCACTCTTATATCTTGTTTTCTTTCGAACCCATGAAGCACATTTTTCCATTCGGTGTCGCGTTTATGCATTCTATCTTGCTCCCGCGTCATACTTTGCCCTTGAGCTATACTTTGTGCTTGCTCTCCATGTTGCTCGTTCTCATCGGGCTGGTTAGGGGGCTGTGCCTCAAACTCAAACCATGCTTCGTATAGCCGGAGCTCTTCCGCACTGGGCTCGCACTCTTGCAACTGAAAGCCTTTCTCCCTTGCCGGATCTGATGCGTTTTCCGACCCGTGATTCTCACACCAATAATGTCGAGATTGTCGTTCGGCATCTTTTGTTTGATGATCAGACGATTCATTTGCTTGGGGTCGTTCTTGGCTTTTGTAACCGGGTAGACATACAGCGGTGTTCTCATAGCGTAGTTCTAACATACGGACCGTCCAATGGATCTCGAGACTTAAACTGTGCTGGCCCTCGGCAGACATAAGCTCCGCGGTTATGTTGTGTTCTCGTTCCTGTTGTTGTCGTTCCTGTCGATGTTGTTCTTCTCGCAGTTGTTCTCCTTGTCGGCTTTCTTCGTTGCGCGATGGATTTGGGTCGTCGTTGGGCTGCTCCTGGTCGTGCGGGTTCTGGGGATTATGAGAGCGGGAACTGCCCAGTAGCCCTCCATGAGATTCGTTCCGACTTGGACGCGAACTTTGATCATCTGGAAGTGAGTCCGTACTGAAGGCACGCCAGTACTTGCCACGCGGACACACAGCAAATCCAAAAGAACACCACTTCACCAGTTTCCACCAGTTCCGATGTGAGGCCTGGAGATATCCTGTGCAAGTTAGATAAGGCTGCAGAGATAGCTTGCCATCGAATTTCCAAGGAAAACTCACCCTTCGATTCGCTGCAGCTGATATAAGTCTTTTTCTTCTGACGCCATAGATTGCGATACGAAGGGAGTGGCCATTCAACCGCTAAGGGTACATAATCCCCAAATATCACTACGTCGTCAAACTCCGCTTGAGAGACATTTCGTATCGATGCAATCATCCAAAGGAATGACAACATGGACAAACCTGCATCGTAGTTACCTCCGCCAATATCTGAATGACTGCCTACGAACAAGCATTGTCGAACTACCGTTGTTGTTGAGCTGGCCATATGGTAAGGCATTGGTGCAAACTTATACCGACTTTCGTGGATTGACATCGCGTGGAAGGCTGATTCAACGCAGCTGGGTACCGTATCTGTCACGAAGGAGAATGCGGGTGGACGAAAGCTTTTACGACTCATCGCACTCACGGTGTCCCACTCTGCCAGGACTTTGATCCTAGGCCGAGCGAGGAACTTGTTCTTCTTGAGTTCTTGCAATAGCTCTTCGAACGCGTCACCACCGGCTTTTGACTTCCGTGCTGTCCAGAGGGAAAAAAGCGCCTTCAAGAATGGGAGACCTTTCCGTCGCAACAGACCGACTGTGTCGATGAAAGCGGCTAGGCATCGGACCGTAAACCCTCCTCTCGAGAAGCCTACGAGAATGATCTCATCCACTGGGCAGACACTGCAGCTCGGGATGAGCGTGTCGTTTGTATCTTCGTGTTGAGCCTGGACTTTTCGACAATTGAATAGCAACCGGAAGCTATAGTTCTGGCAAAGAAAGTAATATGCGTTAAGCATATTCTCGGCCAAACCTAAGCAGCGTTAGTTGCTAAAGTAAAGCGGAAGGTAGGGGTTACGCCTGCCTTCACCCATCGCACCCTGATACCAGTTCCCGAGGCGGCCGGCAGCAGTACCGACACTACTGGAGTAATACACTATGTGCGGTTTTGAATTCCGTGCCTCTCTTCTCAGACAGCGAGCTAACCGGGCCACGTTCGTCACAGGCAGCTGAGTGCCCACAGCATTGTTCCACGTGCCATCGCAACAGATAAACAAGCATTTGGCTGCCCGTGGCTCCTCTGAGTTTCGGCATCGATCGGATCCATCCATATTTCGAGAAGGGATTGGCTGATGGAGTTATCCGCGAGGACGGTCTACATGTGAGGAGGGAAGCGATTAAAGCTGTACGAAGTGCGGATCTAACAATCAGGCGGAGAGGGCTAAAGCCCCGAGGTTATTTTGTCACTGTACACGCATACAATACCGGCACTTTGGAGCCGCATGACGAACAATAAGCTGCAAGGCATGCGTTGTTTCGGGGGCGACAAGTCTTCGCATACGTATCAGGCCGGATCGGGTACGAGCTGGATGAGACTTGTCTGTGATTAGTGGAATCATGTGCGCCAAGATATATGATTGGTCTTCCGTATCCGGTGCATGCATGTGCGATGCAATTGGTGGTCGTACAAGCGACGCTTGCATAAGCCACTGCTACCAGATCCTTGCGCAACACAAGCGAAGTCTGGACGCTGAGGTAGAGGGAACCGGCTCTGCCGTCGAACTGAAGCCTGCACTTTTGCAGCCATGATCATCGCGAGTGGCCTTCAACTGTTGGACGAACCAATCAGACCCGAAAATCGAGAGGCGCCGGTCACCATACCGGACGGTTGTTCTACCCGTCCGGCGCTCGTACGGCCGGGCAGCCCGCTGTTCCTATCACCTTCCAGTGCGTAACAGTACAAAAATACCAACATAGGAGAGCCACTGCCTCAGACCACAGGGAATGTTGAATACCATGATGACACACTCACTGCTACATCTTCGAGTGGCAATTGTGATCTGCTTTGCACAATCTTAGGTTTTGGGTGGTGGCTGTCGCCTTCGACTACATTTTCAAACTCTTGTCGGAACTGAACTGAGCTTACTTGTCGCTGCTCTCTTCATGATGCCATGTGAACCATATTGCTACCTCATCAGCTAGAGTATGAGATCAACTTCCATATGTGTCATGCCATGTGGTGGTGGTGGTAACCTTGTGAAGTATATCCTCGTCCAGGTCAGAAAATGGAGGGGTTCGTGTGGTACGCAAGTATGATGATTCGTAGAAGATTTCGCATGTTAATCTGTGGTGTTAAGGAAACCTCAGCGGAGACGAAATGTATGAGGCGCTCGTACGGTCGTGTTTGATATGTTCGAACCGGCTGCATCTCACGCAGGTCTTCTACATAGATCTAGTATCAGTTATCGCGTCAAGTCATGGGGTGTAGTCGGCGTTTGATAAGCAAGGCAAGGCGGCTGCAGGTGGTCCTATGTTTGATTCGAATGTTCCTTCTAAGAAATTTCCGACTTGCACTATCGATCTACTCAGTAATCCCACTTGCTTGGAATCCCTCTTCACGAGATCAAACGTTCAAACCCACCCACCGAGGAACCTCGGCGCCGAGGCGTTGTAGAAATGCGTGAAGGCTGCACTAACGATCAGGGTATCCCTTAGGGACTGCACTTAGATTTCCGCGGACAGCAGATCCCTCGGCTGTGGCGCCTAGTGGTTATTAGAACTCGGGGCTTCTACTTCTCAAATGTTAGTACTAACTGCCGACGATGGCGGTTTTCCCACGGGTAAGAAAAGGCCATGTTAAGCTGCTCGCTACCCTTTAGACTCGCTTAGACACCAATTTCCTACTACCAGACTTACAGAGACCGCATCTATAACAGGGAGGATAAATTCCATTTTCCTTGAAACGGCTTGTTTTGTCGATATCCGAAAAAGCGAGATATCAAGTCGGACTCACCCACCAATAGGTAGTTGACGGTTCTCGGCTCTGCTCTAGATTTGAGCTAGACAAGACTGGTAACCCCCGCATCTTAAATCTGAGGGATCGACGCAGGGTGCACAATAAGCGTCTGTGCTATTAGCCTCTAAAGCTTGAAGTGAGATCTTCGATAAGTATTGAGGTCGATCGATCACGATGCCGAGGTACTAGACAGAGAAGCTAATAAACTGCATCACAATCAAATTATCTTCACATCTTAGGGTCACCATTCTCGATTTGCATTCTCGATCAGGTAGACACGATTGGGTTAATTGGATTCAGGAGGGCATCACTCGGTTAAATTCATTCATACCTAGCGAATTAGAGTTTGAGAGCTTGTTTGCTGAACTAAACACCAAGTTCAGAAGCTTGTTGCTAGACAAGCTTTCACATGCTACGTTCGCGAGCACCTGGTCAGTATGCTCAGTGTAATGCTTTGACTTACATAAATAGACCAGCTCGGTCCTCTGTATCAGACATCTCAACCAGCGGCGCTTCCAAGACTTCGCGCATCTTCCTTCATCATGTTTTTCTCATTACTGAACCTGCTCATCTGCAGCCAAGCTGCCTTGGGTAGCATCCATCGCCGGGTAGCACCTATTCCTCCAGCTCAGGATCCTTTCTATCAACCACCAGCGGGTTACGAAAATGCCGTGCCGGGGACCATCCTTAGGTCCAGGCCTGCCCCGGCTAAACTCCAGGCGCTCAGCCTTGTTCCGGTGAACATCAAACAAGTCACCCAACTCCTGTACCGTACCACGAACGCTCTGGGACAGCCTGAGGTCACTGTCAGTACTGTCATGGTACCAGAGAATGCGAGCTACGACAAGGTCGTCTCCTATCAAGTGGCAGAAGACAGCGGAGGCCAAATTAATTGCGCTCCATCGTATACCCTTCAAACTGGCTCTCAATCTATTTACGCTGGCACTGGGGATGTCGAGATGCTCCTCATTCTTGGAGCTCTGAACGAGGGATGGATCGTGAGCAGTCCGGACTGGGAAGGTCCTAATTCGACTTTCATTGAAGGCTTCCAGGCTGGCCAATCTACTCTCGATTCTGTCCGTGCAGTGCTTTCGTCAGGCAAGATCACGGGTGTAAAGAGTGATGCCAAGGTCCAGATGTGGGGCTACAGCGGTGGTGCGTTAGCCTCGGAATGGGCTATGGAACTGCAGTCGTCTTACGCTCCTGAACTTAAATTCGTCGGAGCTGCGATCGGAGGAGTGACCCCAAACGTGCAGAACGTGTACGGAACTATCAACCATGGCCCTTTCGCCGGAATCGCCGCTGCCGCCCTCCTAGGCATGGCCAATGCATTCAAGGATTTTCAGACGGCGTTAACGAACCAGTTGATTCCGGCAAAGGCAGCGGAATTTTACCAAGCGGGACAGAATTGCTTCTACGGTGATGTAGTGCTTTTCGCCGGACAGAACATCTCCTCATACTTCTACGATGGTGACAATATCGTCCTCGAGCCAACTCTTGCCAAATACTTTCGCTCGAACGCACAAATGGGTCGTCACGGTGTTCCATCGATGCCGCTATTCGTCTACAAGGCGGTGGCCGATGAGATCTCTCCTATCGCCGATACAGATGCGTTGGTGGACCAATTCTGCGGTGACGGTGTCTCAATCACCTACGTTAGGGATGTGGCGGGTGAGCATTTCACGCAAGCCGCCACTAGCTTTCCAGATGTTATCAACTTCCTTCGCGCGAGGTTTGCTGGAACTCCTATTGCTGGTTGCTCGATTCGAAACGAGTTTCTAGATGCATTGGACGCAGGCGGGCCTTCGTATTTTGGCAGCATTATCGTCACCGAACTGTTGAATCTACTAGGTAAACCAGTTGGTCCAGGTAATGTTTAGAGTTACTATGCTATTACGCTGTTGCAGCAACTACTGTACGTTCCTTGAACCGCGCTAGCTTGCAATAATAGCTTAGTTTAAGACTCTGTACTACGACTTTCTCAATGAAAGGTACTATATCACAAAGAGCAGCCATAGTGCCGATCGAATCCGGGCTCGTGAAATTCCAAGGTCTGACGTATAGGAAAATACTGATTGCATGCGTCAATGAGGCTGTTTGTGGAACTCGAAGGCTTTCGTCGTCGTGTCAGGCTTGGTCGAGTTCGTCAGTTGCTAGCCCTATGCGCCATACTCAGCTATGTAGGGTGGTATCGAGGTGGGTCAACATGTTTAATCGATTCTGGAGGGCCGATCCATACACATGCAATCATGTTGCGGTGGTAATGAACACGCCTGCATAAGTTAATCCAACGATGGACCCCTACCCAATAAGCAATGGTTGGGTACGAGACTTGGATACCTACCAGCAGCATTGCTATTCGTCGTAGATAAAACTCTTTCCGTGAAGCTGAGACGGATGATGAATGCGGAGAGTAAGCTGGCATACTATCATGGTCCACGAATGGCAGATGCAGTTTGTTGCGTGGCTTTGCGAAGACGCATCGAACGGTATGCGAGCGACGCCCCCGGATGTTGAGAATACGCGTCGGATCCGAGGTTGATCAACTCCAACCGGACGTGCAATCCGCAACGATGGTCCTGGAAGAAATGGACTTGTCTGGATCTGTTGCAGTCTATTGATCTTTCAGTCCGTGCAGCATTTTTATTCGTGCTTGTACACTGAAGCTCCCGCGTTTGCCACCATAGTCATCGCCAGCCTTATTCTTGTCCTCATTATTACCCTTGTAAATTTGCATGGCCCGAGCCAGTGGATGCAAAAATCGTACTAGACGATCGACAAATACTAACAGGCGTACTGAACAGGCCTTTCATAGTTCATTTTGTAATTGGTTCCACGCTAAACTCAAGCTTATGGTGCGGTATAACCACCATCGACAAGAATATCTGTTCCCGTCATGTATGAGGAAGCGTCCGACGCAAGCAAAAGATATACTCCCTTAAGCTCTACTGTTTTTCCGAAGCGTCTAAGGGGGTTAGCCGTCTTTTCTATTCTCAGACTTTGTGTGTAGGATCATTTACCCCATAGGCACTTTGTCCATGATCGCGCTCATGACATCATCTGCGATCGGTCCGGCTATAGTAGTTTCTATGAACCCAGGAGATACAGTGTTCACACGAGCGAAATTTAGCCATTCGATCGCGAGGGATTTGCCTGAACAATGTTAACATAGTCGGACTCGGTAGGAACACTGACAAGTGTCTCTGGATTGCTTACACATATGAATGACGGCGGCCTTAGATGCATTGTACGCCGCTTGATGTCGAGGGATGTTGACGATGTGGCCAGACATGCTCGCTGTTGCAATAAAGCTGCCGGTTTCAAAATTTTCGAGCTCAGTCCCATGCAATGTAGTTCCCTCTTGCTTCTGTCTGCGGAAGTGACTCCCAGCAACATGGGCGCAGTAGACAAATCCGTTGGTGTTGATGTCCATGACTTCAAGGTATCTCGCAATGTTCGAGTCGATAAACGACTCATCCCCCCAGGAAACGCCAGAATTTGCCACGAAGATGTCAAGGCGCCCGTTGAGTTCTTTGATAGCGTTTCCCATCGCCACCTTCACTTCGTCGTATGAGGTGACGTCGACTTTATATGCTTTGCCTGTTGAGTCATGGGTCAGCACGACTTCTTAATTATTTCATTCAATAAATGATGCATCAAGGAAGCTGTAGATTTGGTCACACGTACACTTGACCTTGAAGACTTTTTCGATGTTGTCGGCCTCTTCAATAGCCATGCTGTTGCTGTTGTACCAAATCGCCACATTTGCACCTGCTTCCGCAAAAGTCTTGGCTACTGTTAAGCCAATCCCCTGACCTGCGCCAGATATAATTGCGGTTTTACCAGCCAAGGAAAACAACTGCATAGCCGGGCTGTCCGCCGGGGGTTTGGTGTTGTTGCGTTGAAACACTCCGTTCTTGATGCCTTCAGACATTTCTCTAGACATGTTATGTTTCAGAATAGCGATTGCTAAGATCGAAGGGCACAGCGAAGCTTCTCAGATATCAACTAGACAGTTGGCACCCACCGGGTATAAATACAGGCAAGGAATAGGTGCGGACTGGGCCACTAGGTGCACTGCTACAATCTTACTAGTGCTTGTGATTCATGATCGTCCGTGGGGCTGAATCGATCTGATGTATGTACCCAGCGGATAGCAATATAGGCAGATTCTCGGTGGGGCTACATTGCACCGTAGTACCGCTAATATCCGCAAGCGTGCAATTATGCGAGCGCCTAGTAAGACAAGGAGCTACACGAGTACTATAGTAGATTACAGTAGTATTGTTTATGTTACAGTAGTACTGTTTGTGTTACAGTAGTATTACCTCTGTACATTGTGCTGTAGTATCGTGGAAATATGTCTATGCGCGTGATGCTCACTCTTGTAACATAGTAGTACAGAGCTGCGTTCTAACATCTACAGTGTTAAAACATCGTAATAATCTATGCTTTATGACATATCTGACAGTCCTCGCAGCTGAGGAGTGGTAGATGCTGATATCAATGGTCTGTTTTATATCGTACATGAGAGCTCTACAAGCGGCTAAAGTTCGCCCGAACTCTTTGCGCAAATTATCGGAGTTTCGGAACAAAGGCTCTGAATGGGTTGCCAAAGGTCAAGCGTACATTTGACTTCCCGATACGTTGTGGCTGATGCGGAGATGCCGTCGTCGGTGCTGAACGCTGAACCGGAGTCACGACACGAGAGAAGATCAATAGCTCGATGGCCAGCTGCCACAAATGGTGGTACTCCTTAGAGATGTATGGCGCATCGCGATGGCGTATGTGGTGTTGAAATCGTAGCTGTGGTTCCAGCGGCCGTCGTTGTTCCGCCAACGCCATGTTTGGGTAGTGCGCGCGGCAATCTTTCCGAATTCCGACCGCGCAGCCCCAGCGAGCTGGATCTCAGTTCTGTGTATACTAGCACCACGAAACGCACCGCGACGCATTGATACGACCGATACGCTTTCCTGACCTGTATATACTTCTCGACTGATTACGAAACGAAGTCGTTGGCTCTCACGTGCGCCGCATCCCTTGTACACCGCCTGCCACGACCCTCCCGTCCTGTCGACGCACATGCCATAGCCGCTGTCACACAACACCCTCAGCAAAATGCTCGGCTTCCGACCACTGTCCGTGGGCAAGCGGAAAGCCAAGTCGTACAACCAGGCGCCGACGGCCGACCGCGATGTCGAAGACGGCGACCTCAACGAGAAAGGCTACGCCAGCGATGACTACGAGGCCTACATGTCCTCGGGCACACCAAGCCCGTCCTCGTCCCGCCATTCCTCGGGCGCATACGACACAAATCCCAACAACATCGAGTCGAGACCGCTTCGCCGATCCTCCAAATCTCACCGGAGAGCCCCCTCGAAAGCTACCGTGAGTGCATATAGCTACCGGAATCCACGGGCATGTACACGATATTTTGGGCTGGCGGTGGCGAGCACGCTGTTGTTCTTCATGTACTTTCTGTTCAGCAGCAGTTGGGCCTCGATACGCAATGCGGAGCTGGGGCTGAATAAGCCGCCGCCGCCGCCCAACGTGTGGGAGAGCTTTCCCTTCCTGAAGCGATATCACGGCGGCATACGGTCGCTTGTCAGCCGGGACAAGAATGTACCGGAATACCCAACAAAGCAGGACATCGACCCCGAGCTGCCGGCGGAGGAGCAGCCCAAGGAAGCTGTCAAAGAGCGGAGATCGCAGGGCGCACACATTGCCGACTCGATACCTTTTGACCCATACCCGGACTACAGCGGTATAAACTACGTAGACAAGTACGGCCCGGTCGAGACGTGCTATCTCGATGCGAACGATACCATCAAGGTTCCTGGATTGAGGGCATACAAAGGCGTACCACAGGGTATGCCGGACAACGTGATCGGAAGCTATGAGACATTAGGCCTAAGGAACGATGTCTGCTTCGAGCGCTTCGGAAGACTCGGTCCGTATGGGCTAGGCTACAGCAAGAGGCGCGGCGGGACAGGCGCGGGCATGGAAGGTGATCGTGAAGGCATCGAGGATGTCTGGAAGGTTGACGCTGAGGTTGACTTCCGCGAGGTCAACTGGACGGAAGCGCTCGGCAGGTGCTTGGAAAAGAACAAGGGCCGGTTCGAGAAACAACCCAAGACGGGGACTGATACATTCAAGATGCAGAAGCGAGATACGGTAACCGATGCCGAAACCGAAGCCAACAGTACAGTCCACGTTCTACCAAAGGCAGCCCACAATACGCTTCTTCCACGGACCGCCGTGCTCATTCGCACATGGTGGGACTACGAATACGACGACGAAGACATCATGTACCTCCGCGCCCTCATCTCTGAACTCAGCCTTGCATCCGGCGGTGAATACGAAGTCCACTTCCTTATCCACGTAAAGGACGACAACAAGCAGATCTGGGCCGACGAAGACGTCTACGCCGAGGTCCTCAAGAACGCGCTGCCCGCCGAGTTCGCTGGCATGGGCACGCTGTGGTCGGAACGCCAGATGGGCCTGATTTACGGCGGAGTGGAAGAGTCCAACTACCGCGGACTGCCTGTCCATGGTGCCTACCGCTCTACATTCATGCCCGTGACGTACTTTGCGCACCAACACCCCGAGTTCGACTTCTTCTGGCACTGGGAAATGGACGTGCGCTACACAGGCCACTACTACCACCTCTTCGAACAAGTCTCCAAATGGACAACCGCCCAACCCCGCAAAGGCCTCTGGGAACGCAATGCACGTTTCTATGTCCCCTCGGTGCACGATTCCTGGGAAGACTTCAAGCAAATGGTCCGTGTGCAAACCGAACACGGCACCAACAGCCAAGCCAACAGATGGTCCTCTCATCTCCCGCCCAACCCCCACGTCCCTGGCCCAGAGATGCAGAAGCCTGAGAAGCACATCTGGGGCCCGGAGCCTCCCCAAGACTACCCCGACATCGAGATTGACGAAAACGTCAAACCCAACACCACACTCGCAGAAGACAAGTACGAATGGGGTGTCGGCGAACCCGCTGACCTCATCGTCTTCAACCCACTCTTCGACCCTGATCAGACGAATTGGATCCTGGCTGATGATGTCACGGGATACGACAAGAAGAACGGGCTTCCACCGCGTCGTACCGCTATCAACACGTCCGGTCGCCTCTCCCGGCGCCTGCTGGAGACGATGCACCGCGAACAATCCCGCTTCCGACACACCATGTTCAGCGAGATGTGGCCCGCATCGTGCGCCCTGCACCACGGTCTCAAAGCCGTATACGCGCCGCATCCCGTCTTCATCGACCGGAAATGGCCGACGCAGTACCTCGCTGCCATCTTCAACAACGGACGTAACGGTGCAAGTGGCGGGGCGCGCATGTCCGTCTTCTCCGACGAGAGACAACACAATTTTTTGGGTACCACGTGGTACTATCATGCGGGCTTTGCGCCGAATCTCTGGAAGAGGTGGTTGGGCTACAAGGTGGATAATGATGGTGGAGAGGAGTTTGAGGTCCAGGGTGAAGGGCGCATGTGCTTGCCGGGCGTCTTGTTGCATCCGGTTAAGCAGGTGGATTTGGTGCAGGAGAAAGAGCCCATTGATGAAAAGGTGGAGTGAAAACTAGATGCGCGTGGTAGCGCGGCGTTGGCATTCATTGTAAAGGCGTCTGGTGTTCTTGTCGTACGCTGCTCGGTAGCGTTGGATTCTTTTTTTGTTGTATATGACTAGAGATGAAACTTGACAGTCACGCTGTATATGGATATATGAACGACTAGGCTATCTTATTTTTCTACGTAGCCTTGCTTTTGTACTTGTATCAAGAGCGTAACGTTTCTTACCCATGTTTTCAGTCGTCATGCAGCTTTCCGTCATCTCGTTCAATCCTGCCATCTCCCTTCCACACTCAATAGCTCCTAGGCAAGCTCAACACCTTCTCCCCAATATAGTTCAAAATCATCTCCCGACTCACGGGCGCTATCCTAGGGACAAAGCATTCACGAAGGTACCGCTCAACATCGTACTCCTGTGCATACCCCATACCGCCATGTGCCAACACCGCTCTCTCACACGCTGTAAATGCCGCTTCGGCCGCGAGGTACTTTGCGCTATTGGCCGCTACACCAATGGCATCTTGCCGGATAGAATCGTCCGTCTTGCTAGCATCGTACAACCGCGCTGCATGGTAGGTAGCAAGTTTTGCAGCTTCGAGCTGCATGTACGCGTCAGCGAGGGGATGCGCGATACCCTGATTCATACCGATAGGCCGCTGGAAGACGTTGCGCTCGCGTGCATACGCAGCGGCGCGTGTGAGAGCAGCGTAACCGAGACCCAGGGCTTCGCCGGCTAGCAAGCACCGTTCTGCATTCATACCGTGTAAGATGATTTTGAAGCCCTGGCCTTCTTTTCCGACGAGACAGTCGGCGGAGATGTGGTAGTTGTCGAAGAAGACTTCGTTTGCGTCGACGGCGCGGCCGCCCATTTTCTTGATGCGCCGCATGTCTAGGCCGGGAGCGGAGCGATCGAGTGGTATGCAAAACATGCTTAGTGCCTGACTTGGTTTCTCTGCTTCTTCGCGTGGTGTCGTTCGCGCGAGGAGTATCATCCTCTTTGCAACTTGCGCACACGTGATCCATATCTTCTGCCCTGTGATCTTGTACCCCTTCCCATCGGCATCTTTCCTCGCAAATGTGCCTAGTCTCAGAGTATCGAGTCCAGAGTTTGGTTCTGTGACGCCAAAACACGTCCTGTATTCTCCAGAGATGATCTTCGGTATCGTCTCCCTCAATTGCTCGTCGCTCCCAAACTTGGCGAGAGGCTGCGTCGCATACACATTTGCATGTATCGCCTGAGCTCCTGCAATGCCAGCACCAGATTCTGCAATCGTTTGCAGCATCATTGTTGCTTCCGAGATTCCTAGACCAGAGCCGCCGTAGGCTTCTGGCAAAGCGATGCCTAGCCAGCCGTCTTTTGCCAGCGCGGCGTGAAAGTCTGATGGGTCGGTGCTGGTGTCATCGCGATCGCGCCAGTAGCTGTCTGGGAAGTTTGAACATAGCGCGAATATGGCGTCGCGGACTTCAAGTTGAGTGGACGTGAAGCCTGTTGTTTCCATGATGCGTTGGCGTGATGTTGTGCTGAACCGGCATCTTTGGGGGCCCAGTCGGAGAAGTGAAGCATTGCGGTTTAGGCTTGATGCGCGCAGGACGCGCTGTATTGCTGCGGATATCATTCTTCTAGAAAGGGATTACATTGATGCTGTTATTGAGCTCATATGTTATTGCATGACGTTTGTTGACGAGACATTGTGTAGCCGACTTGGGTAGTTGCCGCTTAAGTGGGGTCAGGGTCTTAAAGCCGAGGTGAATCTGCATGATGCGCTTTTCTAACCACCGTTGCTCCTTCTTCCTCAAACAGCAGATCTTCCTCCAGCGAAGGAAGTCCATACCAGTCCATCTTACCACGCACATCCCATTCATGTCCGCGCACTCGACTGGAGTAACCGGTCCGTCTGATTTGAAACCTCGAAAATACTTCTATTCGGTCGGCACGATCTCCATATGTCATTCTGGAAAGATGAAGCGTGAGCCACTGCAGCGCATCTTGCCGTGATCCCGAGACAGCTTCGGCAATTTTCATTGCAGCGGCCACAGAGCGCTCCTTCTCAAGCGGTGGAGTATGGGCGGTTCCCATAGGGCCAGCTATCAGTTGGTCGCAGTAGTCTGTTGCCTTGCCAGGGATGTGGAGGTAGAGATCGAGCTTCGTGAGCTTCATGCTCGAAAGAACTTCAAGGTCCTTTTCATCAATCTGGAAAGTATAGTTAGCGCATATATGTATGGTCAGGTGGTTGGAACTTGCGTTGGTATCGCATTCAGCGTGCCATCCCAGTCGCTCGAGGTTTGGAAACGTAGAAGCGATCGTCTCGAGTAGGCTCAAGCCCATATACTTGAAGCCGCTGTAATGCCCAGACGTAGGTCCAAGGATCAGTGTCTTTAGTGAATTCCGATGCTTTTCAATCGCAGGCCAAAGATCATCGATGCAATACTGTGAATGAGACACGTCAAGATGCTCAAGCGCATCAAGTGACTCAAGAAACATCCTTGCTGGCTGTTGAGTCCCCTCGCGCCCTAGCAATCCAAAACTCAACGTCTTGAGCTTTGGAAAAAGTCCCGCAAAGTTCTTGAAGAAATTTGTGGGGTTGTCGATTCCAAAGTCAAGTTTGCGCAGACGCGAAGGGTCGATAGAATCAAGAAACATGCGGCAATAATCGTCGTCCCATAGATAAATCGAGTCTCCATAGTGTCTTACGTCTTCGATCGTAAGCTCTTCAAGTCGGGGCAAGCGCAAACCGGACGCGAGATCGAGGCGCGGCAACTTTCTCGGTTCAGTATCAGGTACGATCTTTGGCCCATCATAGCCATCGAAGTCTTGTCTGTTCTGTAGCCGAAGAGATCGTACGTTGCCGCCGGCCGCCAAAGCCTGAGAAAGCCGGGGCCAGTCAGAGCGCCAGAGCTCTCGAACACGGCTGCCCTCGGTGTAAACCACGTACGTGAGCTCGGTAAGTAGAGGGGACGATAGGAGTCTCATGTCCATCTGTCGATGAGAACTATTCTTCGCGTTCTGTCGGTCCACGGTAACAACACGGAGCTCGAGCTGCGGCCAAGTCGCGTGAATCATGTCGTATACTGCGCGAGACATGTGTGCAGAAGTCTTCCAACTAGGACAATTAGCTTCATACTCATCAATTCGTTTGAGTTTCATACTTTAGCGATTGGAAATTTCCGTGCTGCGCAACTTTGTTGAGCATCATAATCAAGTCGTCCGAAGGCACGTCGTTCGTGACTGTGATGCTGCGAACGTGCTTCGCGATATGCCCGTGTTCATCTTCGCGGAAAGTCTCCACAAGCGCCTGGTATCTTTTTTGTTCCTCGCTCTTCTTCAGTCCTCTAGTCAGAGTGACATTCCTGTATATGAATGGCAATGCTGCATCGCGCAATGTGACTGATGAATGTGCCACATTCAATACGTCCGTGGGAGATGTTCCCGCAACTTCAGTTATGATGAGGTGATGGATGTCTTCGGGGATGACATTTAAATTGACCGCCTGACCTGTGATGCCACCTGACAAAGCTGGAGGCGTGGCTTTTGCGATGCAAGTACCGGGGGTGAACATGGTTTTCGTAATGCGACGGTAGCAGAAATGCGTGGTTAGGATGCTGTGGTGATGTTTAGTGTGCTCACGAATATGATGCTTCTTTATACGTTCAACTCTTTCAGGCAGCGATAGGAAGCAGGCGCAGCACGACGCGGTGCCAACATGGATCGAAGAGCAGGACCGGAAAGTGACCGCCACACGAAGTCTGCAAAGCCATCGCACCGTTCGCAGCAAGACTTCTACCGCAGTGTTTGACAGCCTCCCAAAGGAGTTTACTCGCCCTTCAATGAGGCTTTCTGAGCCAGCAATAAGCTGAACATGGGAAATTCAGGTGCAGAGCTCCAGTCCGACAGTGGTGAATATGGAGGCGTAATTTCAAAGTTCCATTGGGAACCCGGGGCAATAATCAGCCTCAGGCTGCATTGACCGGTTCCTTTAGGGCGGCAGGAGCTTCATCGCCACGACTGCGCCACAACCTTCGCATTGCTCGATCAGAGGGAAATCCTTGCGCACACGGATGTACTCAACGGCGATACGCATACCCGTAAGAAATTCATATAACAGTACAAGGTACTGTGGTATCGGCTGGGTCTGATGCAGCGGTTGTGTTGTGCTAAGAAGCGAGCATCGCGTTTGGTGGGGATGCGCCTACAGTATCCGTGCACTCAATGCCCGCTGTCGGTTAATGCCCGCCACCCCAGCACATACTAAGTAGTGCTAAAGTAAGACGAATCTTGAATGGACTCGAATAAAGCTCTACTTGGGGTATATATACGGAACTATACGTGACCCAAGCCTGGCCCGATGCATTATTTTCACGCCATTTCATTCGGAACCCTCCCGTTGAGAATGACTTCCTCGCTTCCACCACTTCCCTCACTACACCTCCTAGCACTTTCATTTTCGCTCTTCGCATCGCTCTTCATCGTGATCTCATGCTTGACTCTGATATCGTGCTTCCCATGCACCGGAGGCGGCAGCATGAAATCGTCCCGCAGCCTCGACGTGTCGCCAAGTTCCATCTCGGCACCCGCATTCCTGACACTACTCTTTCCGTACTTCCCGAAGACTGAACTGTTTCCGTTCCCAGAGCGCGTGAGGCTCTTGGTAAAAGATGTAAACGCGGGCACGAGTCGTACGACGAGCGGCTTCATAGCCGGTACGCATGCGCAGACGATGGAGAGGTTCTGTTCGATGCTGGCCCAATAGATAGGTGGGGCGGCGTAGTAGAGGGGATCTTTGGGATGGCGGAAGAAGACGAAGAGCGATTGGATGCGCAAGGCGGAGATGATGCACACACTGGCGGAGTATCAGTACGAGAGTAGGTGTTGTGTATTGGAATTGATGTAAAGAGAATAAGAGCCGTACATCCAGCCTACACAAAGGAGGCATACGAGTGCGATTTTCTGGCGGCGCACGAGTTGGAGACGCCAGATTGCTGGAACGGGGAGCATGGCGACCATCAAATCGGTGATCATATTCAAGAAGCTGTGGGCGAAGCGAGCTCTGCCATTCGTTACTCGTTGTTTAGAGTCAGGATCTCAGTTACAGAACATACGCGTTATCATTGATGCATCTTGACGTCGGCTTTAGCGTCAGATCCCAGAACGCCTCAACTGGTATGCAAGAGAATGCAAAGGTGAAGAATGCTGAAGTAGCCGCTCCAACGCAAAGGGCCATGACAATGTAGATGGGAAGCTTGCTGTCCGCGACACCGAAAATACGCTTGTATTGCTGACAGATCGACACTTTGGTGAAGAGGGATCCTGCTGCGTAGGCGAGGATGCTAAAGTAGAGATACTGCACTGGTCAGGATGTTGTTGTGAAGATTGTACAGCGTACTGGACTTACTTTCAAGCTTTCGATGATTTTAGGTAAAGGGACGAGCACTGTGTGCTTGCCAGCGCCTGCCTGCACCTGCTTGATTTGACAGACACCCGCGAGGATGCTAAAGACCTGGCGCACGCTTTAGCAACCTGTGGATTATTTTCGCATCGCCGGTGAGCTTACCATTGATATAGCAATGAAGTAGTCCTCCCAACCGACGATTTTAGTGAGCTTGATCCGCGAAAAGAAGCGCAGTGCCACACTTATGAGGGCTAGGAAGGTGAACGAATACACAAGTGCAAGAGTCTTAGGCCCGAGATTATCCTGTTCTAATGCGGCGACCACTTGTGGGGGTAGCTGAGGTCTTTCATCCATGTTGACATAAATGCGCAGATGAGGTTGCACATAGTGGATACTTGGATGCTGTGCGTCTTGAGCCCTTATACTTCAGGCCCAATGGAGATCTTGCGAAAGTATAGTCCAATCGCGTACATTAAAGCAAAAGTTTATCTCGGATAAATCAAAGACTAGAATCAGCGAGCCGCTGGCGTATTATAGCTAGTGTAACAACAAACATGGCGGTACCCCTATGATTAGCAGAGATCGCATTGTCCCACCAATCTCGACATGCTACTTCTCGATTGACAGCGGCCTGCTGAGTCCGCGCGTTGATAATGGCATAGTGCCCAAGGCTCAGATGCCTAGCACTAGAAGTTCTCTTCGTACAGGGTGTCGCTTGCTGATTTCAGTAAGGTGCTCATCGTAAATCAGTGTCCAGCATGGCAGTCTGTGGTGTCCTAACTTTCAGCTGGACGGACCTGACGCAGCTAGGCCGGCAATGTGGCGAAACCCTAAATACGGCATATGTGTACTACGGCTATTGTCAGGAACCTGGGTCCTGGTGAGGCGACATTCCTCACGTGACCCTCACTAGTGCGAGTATAAGTAACACTATCGGATCTGATACTAGACAGTATCGATTCGTGTATCAACATCAGACAGTATACTATTACTCCCCCATCTCATGCACCCCGTATCAGTTAGTAGTATAAAGTCTAACAGCTATCAATGAGCTCACCACAGCGACCTAGCGCAAACACGATAGAAAGCATAAGCCCAACGTACCACCAAACACATGAGTCTAAGCCAGGATTTTGGGCATCTAGGATACTAGGTTGATTCTTTAGGCTAGTGGGATGTAGTGCAACCGGACAATTGGGGCGGAGCTTCGCCATTAGTTGAGCTTTGGTAATGCAAGCGGGACCTAAGCGGTGCGCATCTTGTGTGCCGCTTCCGCACGCCACTACTTCGATGTAAGGGACCGGTTCCCGTACCGGCCCAATGGTCGCACCGAATGCCAGTCGGAAAGCCAGGCGGACGCAAATCCCGGAAGGGCGAGGAGATCTTAGCACCCGATCTCCATGCAACATCCCGTATCATTACCAAATTCATTAGCACTACGGAGTACCCTTTGTAGTGGTCCTGAGCTGTTGTAGCGCCTCTTGTCCAGCGCTTCTAATACCTAACTGGGTGCCAAGCTACCTGTCTGGGTGCCAAGCAAACGTGAACTACTACCGCAGTCTCGTGTATTGGACGCAACCGTGTTAGAGTACTGATTAGCTAAGAGAGAGGCAAAGTAGCTTTGTGGCAGACATCATCGGCATATGTGGTGTCTTTACTGTGCTATCAAGGCCGAGATGAAGAATGAAGCACACAGCCTGGACTTGACTTTCCCTGAGCATAACGTAAACCCCGGATGGCAGGCTTGGCAGAGAGCCGACGCGGTGCGGGTGTCGCGTTGGTGGGGATGCGCCAAGCGCGTTCTGGCACAAGCGCGTTTTTGTCCCCAGGCATGGCCACCTCCTCGAGCTACTGCATCATCCACTCCATCTCCACCATTTGCTCCTTCCACACTCCTCAACGCTGCTGGTCATCGCCAGCACATCAGGAGGATTTGTTTTTCTCCTTTCTATCCATGTCTTTGATTCTCATCAACGTCCCCATGGGAAGACTGCAGCCGGAAGAAGAACACAACCGCGATTGCGATAACCTTACTGGCATCTCGGACGAGGCATCGAGTCTGCACAATGAGCACATATCAACAGACTTGTCAAAGCTATGTGCCTGCTAACATTCACTCTGAAAAGGTGGAGTACCCAAACCTGCCGCGAATCACCTAAACGTCAATCGATACATCACCGCGATGGTTGGCTATTTGCCCATAACCTTAATGATTACATGGCCTAGTAAATAGTGCACGCAATGTCGGATCCCACCTTTCCAACGACGCGCTTTAAGATCACCGAAAGAACGGAAAGCTCTCATCGCACAAGCCGACTCGATGCTCAGGGGCTGTGTCGCGCTCGTCTCAAGCATGACCAAGGCGCTGTCGATTGGATCCAACAATACTAATGTTGCTGGCGGCTGAAGTAGTGCTTGAATGGTCCGCTTCACATGCGCCCAGCACACTTGGGTTGTGCACGGACCATCATCGTAGAAAACCAAAGGGCTTGTCGACGAAGGCCTGTGCGCTAATCCTTGCCTCCATCATCCGAAACGTAAGAATATAGACACGAATTTTCGTAGGCTCACTCGACCAGCTGGTTCAAGGTAATGATTCGTGTGAGTATTAGTTAACAAGTTATATCTGCGACTCCTCTCTCCGCCTTTCCAACCCGGCAACCAAGTATTTGCGGATCGAGCTGTTTGCCCACTGACCAGACGACTGAAGATCAACTCTCTTATAAGTGAGTCACACCCATTAGGGGGAACTATTTCATTCGGTTCCTGACTAATCTTGCCGTGTTCAGGGCGCGAACTTGGATCTTGCTCGCAATGACGGACCAAAATGGTATAGGGCATAGATACCAAAGATGCAACCAATAGTGAACCCTCCCAGCAGACTCACGCCTCTATTTACTCCCAGATTGACATACAATGGTTGCGAACAATGAACGATGGCGGCAGCAAGTACTGACCGAGCGACGGTATTACCAGCGAAGACAGATGCTGCGTACTTGGGATAGCTCAGGGGAAGGTAGAGGAAAATGGGTTGCATGATCATGAAGATGCCGCCACTCATGATAGCAATTCCAACAGTGGGTACGATCCAGTGGATATAGGAAGTTGCTGTCCAAGCGAAGAGGAACAGTCCTATTGGAAGCAAGAACGATGCGGAGAGAGCAGGAATGAGGCGGCGTTCTGGGGGCCCAATATTCCAGGTCCGCACGGCAGGCTCCCATGTAATGCGTATCCAGACCAGGTACATCACCAGCCCTACAGTGATCCCGACGGCGATGGACAGATAGACGAGACCTTGCGCTCCGAGCGACATTCCATATATTCCTTCGTAGACCATTGGAAAGCACTCGAAGAAAGAATAGTAGATGCCGTATATAAGGGCAACGTAAAGTGCGGTGAATCCAATAGATGGGTCGAGTATCATAGTTTGAATTGGCCGCCAGAGTGCTTCGGTGACAACTTTCCGGGGACGGCGCTTAGATTGATCAATCTCGCCCTGGCTTCTGAAACAAGATTGGCCGGTTTGTTCGCGCAGTCGTTGAGCACGTCGAAGGAGAATGTTGGAAGGCGATGTCTCTGGAACCAGGAAGAAGAAGGCTATGAACAGCGGACCGCTGAGCCACAGCAACTCCCAGGTGGACCATCGCCAACTAGTGGCGGGCACGCTGTAGCCAGAAAGCAGAGGACCAACTGCAGGACCGCTTGTAGCAACGACAGCCCAAGTCGAAAGTGCGTATGGGAGCTTGTCGAAGGCATACATGTCGCCCAACGTCGCTGGACCAGTAGCGAGGCAAGGACTTCCAAAGAATCCTAGGAGAAATCGTAAGACGACCAAGCCTGGGAAGTCGTTTACCAAGGCCGTAGGGATGAGAAGAACAATGAATATGGCAAAGGTGAAGATGTACAACGAGTTTCGACCAAGGGGTGGGATCTCAGAGAGTGGTGACCAGAGCAAAGGTCCGACTCCGTAGGCCAGAACATATATGGAGAGCGTGAGAGAAACGACTTGTTGAGAAACGTCGAACTGACGCATTATACCGGTGTAACTCCCAGTGATAATCGAGGAGCCAAGGTAGACAGCGAAGGTGTAAGCATCGATGATCAGCGTCGGCACCAGTTTCTGACCAGTCGTCCAATTCTGCGGATTTGCAGGGTCGTCAGAGCCATACCAGTTGACGACTATGGTACCATCTTCCAACATTTTGGGCTCGAACACGTCGTTTTGCTGCGTTCTCTCGTCGACCTTCGCGGACCCACCGTCATCTGGAAGAGCGGAATCCGAAGGGCGCATGGAATAGGTGCCGTTGTTTCTCTCGCTTTGCGAGAGGATAGATAAGGGCTCGTCTTTCGAGCGTAGCTCAGCTGCTTCAAGAAGCTTGACGTAGGAATCTTGCAGCTGAAAATCATCCTGCTCTTCGGGGAACTGCAGTACTCGATTGCATGTAATTAGACGGACAAGTCTACCAAAGCTGGTATCTCGGACGAATTGAGACATGTTCCAGTGACAATGGCAGATTTTGATAGTTGTGAATGGGTGAAAATGTAGTTGGAAGCTGCATCGATGGGAGTGCAAAGCCTTTAAATACACCAGGAACGACAAGGATAGCAAAGTTGAGGGATGCAGCCGAGCCTTCATTGAGGTGAGTGTCGTTTTGTTTTTGTCATCAATCTCCGTTACTGCCGTATACCAAGCGCGGTCCTAGAGTGGCGATAACATAAAGACCGCACAAAAGTCGACGCCGCACTGGGAGACTAGGCCTATTCTGTAGAATGGGATGAAGGAACCTCTGTAACAGTGTTGACCGAATCAGAATTAGAGCTGTGACCAAGCCTGGGCGAGATGAAAAAGCGCCACCAGTCCACAATTATCAGGGTTGGTGGTGTCCTCATTTCAGCCGCAAGTAGAAGATTTCGCCATCTTGAGGTATAGCGTGCTAGAGGATGCACTGGGACTCTTACCGAAACAGATTTTGGGTAAATCCGTGTATACACACTGCATGGCCATTCCAGCGCCATCACGGATGACCGGGATCACGACGATCGTATATGCTTCCGTTTGCAAGTATCGCAAGGTGGTATGGGTCAAATTCCGGTGAAATGGTAGATATCCAGAACAGTATTGGGCGAAAGGATATCAAATCGGACAATAGACCTGTACGTATGCTCCCATTTCAGTTCTATCGCAGTGTCAGTCTCAATGTCACACTAACAGATACCGGTCAGCACGTTACTTGAGCATGGGCATTACCTTCACATAGAGCATGACTAGGTTTTTGTCTGACTTCCATAAAACAAGATATTTTAACAGATATCCATCCTAGCAGTGTCTCGACTCGACTTGC